CCGGTCATTTCGCCCGGTGTTGCTGCCATTGCAGACCGTTCTTCACTCTGACCCCCAACACACGTTTTCAATGTCGAATTCAGAGTAGAAGGATACAGGTATAATTCACTGGGTTCTTCGGATTCCGAATCACTGCCCTGCAAGATAAACTATTGCTGTATTTCGAAAGGTCCAACTCATAAAACCATAGCTAACTCGAGTCTTTTAGCGGCCCCTTACCCTCTTGTTCCTAGTTTGCTGGCAGCTGTCAGCTCAGATGTCGCACAGAGTACTGATGCTCCCACTGTATGTATTTATCGCAATTTACCCATAAAAATCAACTTTTGCTATTTTCAAGTGTTTCGTACTGCGACAACGGTGCAAGATGCATGTAAGTTAAACTCTGGGAGTGTGTATACGAATTTTTGCTCGGAATTTTGAAGTCAGCAACTAGAAAAGCTAAAAAGCTGAAACTCTGTCCATGTGCGGTCCTGTAGATTTAAACCTCACTTGGCGCACGACTGAGTTTACATGCAGATGAAATTTCGCGTGAAAAATTTTCTAGCTTGGAAAGATATTCTTGACCTTGAAAATTTAACTCTAGCACCCAAGCAATTCTGCATCTCACGTGCGAACATGTGGAATTCCAAGCAGGAAGTTATTAACATTTTTCTAGCTCCACTGGCCAAGATCACGTAAAACGTACGGTCGCACCGGCTAACTGTATGTATGACAATTTATTCTGAATCACAAGTTTCAAGTGTGGCCGAACAAAGTACGACAACTGAGCATCTTTCAAGCTGTGAGGGTTTACACCACGTCCTGCTTCAGTGATGTTTTACCCACACTTGAAGCTCCCGGAACGAATTTTGTAAGAAACTTCCCAATTATCCAGTAGTGAAGACTCATCTTTTAAATCCCAATAAAAAGAGACTCCGCTTCCTGCAACGGCATGCAGGTGTATGGCTAAGGAAAATAACTGAAGCTCACGTATAAATCGTTTTCATCATTAGTTCCTGTATGCAGTGATGCGGCGCATTCTTTGGATCCACGCTTCACAAAATCTGTTATTTGCAGGTCCACTTCTTTTGGACTCTAAATCAAAGCCTTCATCATAAGAACAAAACAACAGAAGCGGCGAACATACCCTTGCATAATTCGAATTCTGGGACTATAACAATTTTGGATCTATAATTTTGAGAATTTCGTCCCCTCCCCTTTTCGACCGTGCAGCGCCACATAGATCAAAGTGAGTTTGACGATTTTTTCACGTCCTAAGCCACGCATGATGCGTTCGAAATCAGCTTTCAAAACTTACCGCACTCTTCTCGTTAAAATTCATTTCTCTCGCAAGCTGCAGAGGCCCTAGTGAAACGCTTATTCCAAAGAATCGACTAACTTATAATCCCTTCAGAAGTCGAAACGAATGCTATTAGGGCCAGCAAATCGTTCACCAACTGTACAGTTCTTGTGATGACCTTACCAGCACGATGGTTGCGTGATAAATAAATTCAGGAAAATAACAGATAAAAAAAAAAAAAAGACAGGAAAAAGATGGAAAAAAGACGGCCAGAACAGGGACTGTGGCACAGAGGAAGTGTTTTTAACA